GGGTTGCTATGAGTTGGAATCAACTCTATGGCAATGGGTTTCTTTTGGTTTTGGTGTGTTTCAGTTTTATAACTGGCCCCTTTACACACAGTGTCTCAGTTAAACATCAGCTCTCCAAAGAGATAGGTATTAAAACAAAAGAAAACAAAGAGATAGGTATTATCATCCCCATTTTACATTTGAAGAAACAATTTTAATAGATATGAAATACTTTAAGACCAAGCAGTGAGTATGTAATTAAGCTGGCTTTCAAACCCAAGCCTTTAGAGTTTCAAAGACCATGTCTTACTACATGTCCTGAAGTCTGATGTCCCACTGACCCATGAAAATCCTATTATGATACACTAAGATATTAAATATGTCTCCTCAGTTTTGCCTTCTCTCCTTCTTGAAAAATGAGATACTAGATTGAAAAGGAGTTGGAGTTCAGAAAGATGTAAAGTAGATGCAGTGTTAAATTCAAAAGTCCATGAGTCCTTCTCTCACAATATAAACCAGAATATCTAATTTTTATAGGAAAGCCATTGGTTTGTTTTAAAGTTAATTCAGGACTCTCGACCATCATCTCCAAATGCTAAAAAGAGACCAAACTTTGTTAGAGATTTACAGCCAGGCTGAGCTATAATCTCTTATGTCTGATGCCCAAGGGGCTCTTATCTCTTTCCAGGAAGGCCTTTTTGACTTCTTCTTGGTGTTCTTAAAATAGATGCACACCTCTGGGAGGTCAGATACAAGGAACAAGAACAGGACCTGGGCCCTAGGGATTATGACTATTAAAAGATCTGTTCCTCTTCTCAGGACCAAAGCTGACATGCCAGAGATAGCTGAGCTCATTTTTAGATTCTGTCCCCATTCTTCTGAGACAAAGCTTGCTATTTTCTCTATTGAGGGAATATGGGAGGTAAAGAGTCCAGATGGAATTCCCTAGACCTCTGAATAGAATGCTTATAAGTGCTAGGCCTCAGAGGCATTTGCAGAGCCCCAGGCTCTTGCTCCATGACATTATCCATACCAGGTAAGATTATTATAATGAGGAATCTACAAAAGGAGCAGTGGTCATCAGAAAGAATCTCTAGACTATCAGGATGAAGAGACATGGGATGCTGGGGCAGCCCACTTTACTGCTCCTGTATAAATCTAACATTATCTTAAGACAGATTGTGTTGGAAGTTAGAAAGGATGGAGTCTGTATATGTCTATACACAAGGAAGTCAAAGAGCTCTCTAGTCCATTTATGCCAAGACAAAGGCATCTAAAACACCTCCACGTTCTTTAAATAAGCACAATATTTTCTACTCATTCAGCAAAGCCAAGTATTGTGCTGGCACAGTACTGAGAGTAGAGAATAAGACAGTATTATCCTTACCCTCATGTAAATTATATTCTTCTTGGGAAAACATACACTAAACAGGTAATTCAGAGCATGTTATATGTGCAGAACAAGGGAAGGTACTGAATGCAGACTGAGAGTCAAGATGGCCTTTTCATGGATGAGCCAGGAGGGGAACATAGGAAGATGGTGTGCCATTACAATCCCAGGAAAGAACATGGAAACATGGCTCATTCTCAGAGGCAAAATAATATGGTACAGTTGAGAAATGAAAAAAGAGACTCTGGAAGATCATGCGCAGGGTGAGGGATGGCAAAAGCTATGGAAAGTCATGGCATATGTATTTGAAAACTAAGAATTAAGGTAGGAGGTTGTCTTGCAGTGAATCCTTACACCCTTATACTATCACCAAGTAGGAGCTACAGCAGCCTTCTTCATTTATATTTAAGGAGTTGCTTCTGACTAGGGAGATAGAGCAAAAATGACTCCAAGGCTCATTCCACCTCCAGGTAGCAGCTGAAGTGCATCTCTTCAGTCCTGGGGGGTCCTTTCCAGTTTTGTGATATTTTCCTGAAGAAGGATGGAAAGAGGAAGAGAAGAGATGGAGATGAAACATTCATCAGGAAAACATCTCGGTGTATTGGCAAGTACAGGGAAGGAAAGCAAGGGAAGAGGGAATCAAAATTAAATCTATCTTCTCCAGGGCTCCTGACCTATTCAGAGGACTAGGGAAATTGGCTTGGACTAATAAAGGGTGTGTGTATCAGAGAACTGCTTGCTTTGCAGAGAAATCACTTCCTCTAATGCCCATAATTAAATAAGTACACATTTAGCCTCATTTCTGCATTTGGGTCTTGTGAGCTCCTTCTACAATATAACCTCTCTGCCCACCCCAGAAAGAGGGTGTTACTTAATAGTGATGAGTCTAAAATGGCATCAGAAGGAAGGATGGAAAGGAAACTATTTCAGTAGTCTAGCAGATGATAACGTAACCAGTGAAGAGGAATCATGGGACTAGAAGAAAAATTCACTTGGCAAGTCTTGCTGATCTTTTCATTGAAGGACCCTTCCCTTTTTGAAATAAAGCAAAATTATAATTCTTCAATTAATTTATTACACCTTTGATTAACATTTTCCTCAATCAAGCCATTTGATTACAGGTAGGGGGTGAGGCAAGCCCTCTTTAATTATAAATCCATAATCAGCAAAAGACCGTCTTGTCCTTGACTGCCACCAGACTATGGCTCTTTGACTTTAAAATTAGTTTTGTGAAATTATCATCTTTTAGATTATCTGTTCTTCAAAATATGTAGTCTGAGAAAGCAGTCAGCTCGGCATAATACAATGCTGGGTAAAGATTCTATACAACTGGGGTCCTGTCTGATATACACATGAAAGGACAAATGGCACAGCTAAGGAGGCAATTGGAGAGGCTTTAATGGAAGGACTCTACAGAGGCATGGGGTAGGGTTAAGGAAACCAACAAGGGATGATGAAGTCCCCGGGATGAATATCAGTGAGTAGCCATTACCAAGCCTAGGCCTGATGACCAGGCAAGGAAAGGTGCAGGTAACAGAACACAGGAAGGGTTATTCTTCAGGAGCTGTAGCCTTTGAAGAAGACAAAGATACTATCAAATATGCTTGCATGGAAGAGAACAAGGGACTAAATGTCAAATATCTCTCCTCTCACTCTGTCATCTCCCGCTGTGCCTCACATTGGTTGAACTCAGCTGGAAACCAGAGAAAAGAAGAAACTGTGAGATGCAGCCCATAAATGTCAGCTTCCAGGGAAACAGAGCAAGGATCTGGGAGGACGAATGGGGGGTAACTAGCACAAAGGATTAGGAAGCCAAGCTGGGCTTCCGCCAGCTAAGCCTTCCACCCCACTCCACTTGGTTACTTCTATCACAGCCAGGCTCCCGTGCAGTCCTTTCATCCCTAGCCCCAATGATTCAGCCTTTTCTTCTTCCTTTTTCACATATATAACCAAAAGTCACTCTGTATCCATTTGTAGTAATCTGTGAGAACCTTAAGATGGAAAAGGAGGCCAGTTCATGAAGAGAAATTCTGTGGGATGAAGTCACTACAGCAGGCTTGCATAAGCAGTAATCCTCCCAGCCCTGTGGCTCCTTAGAGAAAAGGACAATCCAAAATTCTTTGAGATTTACTGAATATATTTTTTCTTTTAAATGTTAGCCTTGACAACTGAATAAAGAGAGCTAATACTTACTATGCATTAGGTATTGCCTTTTCATTTAACCGTTATGACCAAAAAACAAAACAAAACAAAAAAAAAAAAACAATGTGATCTTGTGGTGCAGTGGTTAAAGCAATCAGCTACTATCCAAAAGGCTGGTGGTTCAAACCCACCAGCTGCTCTGCAGGAGAAAGATAATATAGTCGCTTCCCTAAAAATGTACAGCCTTGGAAACCCTATGGGGCAGTTCTACTCTGTCCTATAGCGTTGCTATAAATTAGAATTGACTTGATGGCAGTGAGTTTGTTTTTTGACCTAAATAAACAAATAAATAAATAAATAAATAAATAAAAATAAAGTTACATTTGTTGTGAAGTGCGGCTAGCTAATGGCATAAAATAACGTATGACCTTCACTGACAGGATCTGAAAGTAGACCTAGAGAATTCCAGAGCTCAAACTGATGACTACTGTGCTATATTCAACCTAATTAGGTTCTAAATGTAGATGAAAAAGTTGCTATGTACTGCCTTCCTTTTCATTCCCTAATATATTTAGGGAGTACATGCTTGTATGATCCTTTAGATTCTGGGGAAAAAAATGTTTGTGTTTTTTCTCTAAATATGCATCCTTCTTCAGCCAGCTGTTCTACATCATGAGCTAGCATGACAATTTCTTCTTTGGCCAAATATGTAGCTTGCAGGCTTCATTCCCCTCTTCACCGAATGTATCTTTTTCCTTCCTGGAGACATCTTTCTCCATTTCTAGAATCTTACCCTCATATTGAGCCTCCATGAAGAGAAGATCTTTGCAAGATTCTGTGTTTGGGTATCAGATGTGCATAAACTGAGCTCCAGTCATCAGCTTTAGTCTTTCAGAAATAACCTTGATACAGGCTTGTGAAAATAGAACTTCTGCCTTGAGATTTTTGTCTGCAGTTTAGACATTATCTTATGTCAATCAAGCTTGTGCTGGCCCCACCTTAAGCTGTGATTTACCATAGAATCTTCATAGCTTCTAGGAATCCTTGTGTCCCTGTATCTTTCAGCTTCAACTGTCTCTCATTTTCTTTCCAAGAGCCCTAACTCTTGTGAAACCTTCCAGTGTGATGGTGAGAGCCACCTCATAGTCTACTTGTGGAGGTAAATAACCAAACTGGTGCCTGTCTGCCGTAGGTTAATTCATCCACTGATGCAAGATATTATTCCTTGAGGGCCATATTACAAAAAGATACTTACACATTCATTCATTAAATATTTAATTTGGCTTGTGCTTAGAAAACTTTTGTGGACATTATAAAATAGTAATAACATGCTATTCACTAATTCATTGCATACTATCTTATGTATTCAATAATTCTATTCTTCATCATAGGATCTAAGAGTAAAGTATCTTTCTCTTTTTTTCCAGTGGAAAAAAAAAGTTCTGCTGCATTTTTAGGCACAAGTGAGAACATTCATTTGTAAATAGCCATGCTCACTTTTCACAATGTTTGCTGGGCACCCAGCTCCTTCCAGCTCACTGGCATCCCAGGGCTGGAGTCCTTGCACATCTGGCTTTTCATCCCCTTTGGCTCCATGTACCTGATGGCTGTGGTGGGGAATGTGACCATCCTGGCCGTGGTAAGAGTGGAACGCAGCCTGCACCAGCCCATGTACTTCTTCCTGTGTATGTTGGCTGTCATTGACTTGATTCTGTCCACTTCTACAATGCCCAAATTGCTGGGGATCTTCTGGTTTGGTGCTGGTGACATTGGTCTGGATGCCTGCTTGGCCCAAATGTTCCTCATCCACTGTTTTGCCACTGTTGAGTCAGGCATCTTCCTTGCCATGGCTTTTGACCGCTACGTGGCTATCTGCGACCCACTACATCATACCACTGTGCTTACCCAAGCAGTGGTGGGTTATTTGGGACTGGCTGCTCTTCTCCGTGGGGTACTCTACATTGGACCCCTGCCTCTGATGATCCGCCTTCGGCTGCCCCTTTACAAATCCCAGATAATCTCACACTCCTACTGTGAGCATATGGCTGTAGTTACTTTGGCATGTGGTGACAGCAGGGTCAACAATGTCTACGGGCTGAGCATTGGCTTTCTAGTATTGATCCTGGACTCAGCAGCCATTGGTGCCTCCTATATAATGATTTTCAGGACTGTATTGGGGCTAGCCACCCCTGAAGCCAGGCTTAAAACACTGGGGACATGTGGTTCTCACATCTGTGCCATCCTGATCTTCTATGTTCCCATTGTTGTTTCTTCTCTCATCCACCGATTTGGTCACCATGTGTCTCCTCCAATTCACACCCTGCTGGCCAACTTCTATCTTCTCATTCCTCCAATCCTCAATCCTATTGTCTATGCTGTCCGCACCAAGCAGATCCGAGAGAGGCTTCTCCAAATCCTGAAGATAGAGGTGAAGAGCAGGTGATGATTACTTCCTTCTTCCTTTCCAAATATGCTCACAGAGAAGAAGGGTTTTAAATCTTTATTTTAAAAGGAGCTTGCTTCTCCAACTGGGTACTTCTCAAGCAGTCTGTGATGTTAAGCCCTGTGGTCTTGAATTTTTGTAGTTCCAAAGGAATGGTAAGAAAGAGTGTACAATTCTCAATTCAAAGGTTTGAAGATTATATTTAATCTTCTTGTCTTTAAAGGATATTTGAGCGGCAAGGGAGGTAAATCCACAATAATGACAACATAATAATACAAATAACAGCTAGTGTTTGGTACAAATATGTTTGTATACATAATTGCACAATTCTTACAAACATGCTGACGTCTTGTGAGGTAGGTATTATTGTGCACATTTCATACATCAGGAAAAAGGATAGAACAGTTTTGTTTTATAAGTTGTATAAAAGGTCACTTATCCTGTCTAACACAAATGTTATGGTTGGAGTTTATTAGTATTTTATACCACAGTGTATTAAACTTTCTACTAAGGGCTGTTTTATGTGCATATTTTAATGAGTAAATCATAAAACTTGTATCATTTCATCAAAGTAGCAAAGCCCTTTACAAGTTAAGGTAACTGGGATGTGGTTAAAACTGCTTACACTAATCATCCTAGAAAAAGACTGATCTATATGCCCAGGAAGGTATGATGATACTCGTCATGAAAACATCAGTGGCCTAGAAAAACGTGTCAGCTCCATGAAGGGAAATGAGACAAGACAAGCACATCCCAGCACTGCCCTGTGTTTTCCTGCAGGCCTGCTCCTGTCCAGGCCTGACACATTGAGGGCTCCATGGAAAGGAAAACTTTCCCCTTCCCACAGAAATCTCCTCTGAACCCTGATCCATCTGTAGGATCCCAGTTAATGATGTACTCTGTTCTTAAAATACATCATGCCAAAATAAGTGAAAGTTACAAATTCTAGAATTTATAGAAACTAACATTGACTTTACTATCCAGATTAATTATTTTAATAATTTTAGTTATTTAATATCTAGAAAATGTTAATTTGCATAAAGCACTTAAGGTTAACTGAAAGCTGCTGATGTAACCCTCACAATCACACTTTAAGGTAGTAATTACTATCCCCATTTTGCAGCTGAGCAAACTGAGATTCTCACAAGTGCTAAAACAAACAAACAAACAAACACTGAAGGGCATTCATTCTATGAGATAAAGCCAGGAGGCAGAAGTTAAGCTAGCTTTTTTTGGGTCTATTTTTAACCCTAAAACTTCTAACCTCTCTGATAAAAGTAATTAAAGAGAGCTTCCAACTTTGAGTGGGTCCAGAGCAAGAAAGCACACATAGGTCATAGTTCTAACAGCCCTGCCGCTTAGACCTTAGGATCCAGCAGGGTCAGCTTTGGAGGTGCCAGTGACGGGAAAAGATTAAAGATGGAGCTTATGGAGAGTCCCAGTGGAAGAATCACTACATGGGCCCTGGCATTTTGGAACTAGGCTAAGTCATCTACAACGGAAAATGGACAACTTTTGAGAAATAGCTCCTGATATTTTATTGGACCCTAGTAGGGACACAAAGAAGTCCTGGTGGTGGAGTAGTTAAAGCAGTCAGCTGCTAACTGAAAGCTTGGTAGTTTGAACCCATCACTTTCTCTGTGGGAGAAAGATGTGGTAGTCTGCTTCTGTAAAGACTGCAGACTTGGAAACCCTATAGAGCAGTTCTACTCTGTACTATAGGGTCACTATGAGTTGGAATTGACTCAACAGCACTTAGTAGTAGAGACAAAAATAAGCTCTGGTAGCATAGTAGTTAGGCTTTTGGCTGTTAAGTTTGGTGGTTGGAACCCAACAGTTGCTCAGTGGGAGAAAGGTGTGGCAGTCTGTTTCCATAAATATTACAGACTTGGAAATCCCATGGGGCAGTTCTCTGTCCTAAAAAATCATTATGAGTTGGAATCCACTTGATGGCCATGGGTAGTAGACACAGAACATTTGGCATGGGGCACCAAATTATCATTTATCCAGTACTACTCAGTATGATTTCTGTCAGACCCACCAAATCATAGAATTAGGCCTATCAGCAGTCTCTTGTAATATGGAAATTGTTCATCTAGGATCAATTCTAGCAGGACAAGAGGACCACATGTATGTTGCATGAGAATGTAGCTTAGACTCTTATGTCAACCACAACATTTTCACAGCTCCCTTTCCCCAAATCACATTCATGGCTGTATGAAATTGTCCCATGCAACCAACTGAAGGAGGAAAAAGCCAGAGCTTGGTTTACTGATGGGTTGGTTAGGTATAGCTTGAACTGGATGGCAGTTGCATTGAAGACAAATAAAGGAATGAAAAAGAAAGAATAGAGAAGTAAAGTCTTCCTGATGGGTGGAATTCCAATTGTTGCACCTGGTCATCCACTTTCTGTTGAAAGAAAAAGTGGCCCAAAGTCAAAGACTATAAATTCCTGGGAGTGGCCAGTGGTCTACTTTGTTGTCAAGGGCCTAGAAAGAAAAAGACTGGGAGATCAGAGGCAAGGAGTTCTAGGGTAGAGACAAGTGGATAGATATATGGGAATGGGCCCAAGCTGTGAAAATATTTTGTCACCAGAAATAAACAGCTATAGGTAAGGCACTGAAGAACCAAGTAGACAAATGATTCTGCTGGCTGATATTAGCTAGCTCTTATCAGTGGTCACCTTAGAGTTGGTACAATGAACACCTGAGTGGAGTGGCAGAAATGAAGACCATATATGGGCCCAACATATAGACTCCAACTGACTAAGGTTGACTAGTTATTGCTGCCTCTTAATGTCCGATTTGTCAGTACTAAATTCCAATGCTGAACCTTATATATGACACTATTTCTCCAGGAGGCCACTTGGTGGTCCACTCTATACTGGACTGTGTCTTTCCTGGCAAGGCCAGTGGCTCATAGTGATACAAACTTATTGGTGTGTGTTTGTCTTTCTTGCCCACAAAGCCTTGGCCAGCACCATTCTTTGAGGGTCTTATTAACTTATAGGCATGAATCCCACATAACATAGCATCTGAGGACCAGTTTAACAGCAAGGGGTATACACAGGATAGGGCTCATGGAAATAGGATCCACTGGTAGTATTACATACCTCAGCAACCAGAAGAAGTTAACCACACAGAATCCCAGATCGACTTTCTAAAACATAGCTGAAGTAGTAGCTCAGAGGCCACACTTCAAAAAAGTGGAGTTCTATCCTTTACAAGGAAGTATATACATTAAATCAGAGATTGGTACATGGTGCTGAATCCCCAAGAGGAAGAAAACATGGGTCAGTAAGCAAAGGTAGAAGCAACAATAGCCCCATACACCATCGTTACCACTTATACACTGGGAGAGGTCTGTTTTCATGTCCCCTGAAACTGTTGGCTCTACAGGGTTGGAGCCCTGAAGGGGGCTCATTCTTACCAAAGGACATAAGAAGGGTCCTATTGAATTACAAGTTATGAAGCTGACAGGATACTTCACACTAATGTGCCCTGGAAACAACAGGTCAGAAGATGAGTTAGCATACTGGCAGCAGTAATTGACCTCACTCCACAGGAAAAGGTAGGGCAGTTTTTATACAATGGGTACAGAGGAGAATATACATGGAAGCCAAGGGACCTGCCTAAGCACCTCCTGGTATTCCTTTCCCCACAGTAACTATAAATGTGCATGCATAGCTGTCCAAAGTGAGAAGACTATGATTAACAAAGGCTCATTCCCCTCAGGAATGAAGGTTTGGGTCACTCCACCATACAAACGAGCTGGGGGTAAAGGGAATTCCAATTAGGGAAGAGGGAGAGGATTAGCAACCGTTACGGCAGTGAAATAAACTTCAGAGACAGGGGTTGCGGTTCATCTTACTCATCTTCTTCTAAGTTTCCCTTAGCACAAAGTCTCATGGAAACTATGGAGGAGCTGATCCCCAAATCTGTTTGAAGAAGATCTGTGCAGGGTTAAGAATAGATTGTGGTGTCTGTAGAAATTAACCTCTAAGATATAAATGTAGGGAGAACACTTGACTTACAGCTTCAGCCACTGCACTCGAAATCCACTGCATTTGCACTGAGGCCCCACTTCCCATGGGATGCTCAGTGAATGAGCACAGAAATATTAAAGAGTCCTTTTCCTGTGAGATAAAGAAATCCACTCATGGTTGTCTTTGCTTAAAAAATCCCCATCAGCCTTGCCAAATCTTCTTTAGAAACGCACTAAAACCTAAGCCCTTTCTTCCTTCTTCATGATCTGATGGCTCTTCCAGCCTCTCAGGAGCTCTCCTGTTTTCTTTCACAGGCATTCTTCCCCAGCCTCTCTTCCCCCACCTCTGCCCCCATCAACCGCTTACATATCCAATTCCATTATGGCATCTTCTCCTTGAAGGATCAATTCTAATGCAATTATGAAATAAGGTTTACAGCAAAATTTCAATTTCATGTTGCCAAAGATCAGCAGCTGTGGGAAAAGTTAGCATCTCTTACAAATATGGAGCCATTTGAATTTTTTTCTCAAAGACAATTCTCTTGAAGGCATTTGAAAAGAAACAAAAAACCATTTAAATGCAGCTCAGCAATGCTTTCTCTTCTTCACTCCAGAACAGAATACATAAGGGAAGTTACAGTGCAGACATAAATCTGAAGAACCTAGCATCACAGAAGTGTCCTTTAGAAATTGAGTTCAAGGTGCAGCCTAAAGGTACAACATAGGCACTATGATGTTCCCATGCCCGTTACAAAATGAATGATGCCCCATAGGAGAAAAACACAGCTATAAAATAGCCTCTGAGACTGCTCTGGACTAGCTGACTAACACTGCTACAACCCAAGTTCCTCAACTTTCTTCTGCAGCAGCTTAATTTTACATCAAATATGATTATGGATAGAGAACTTCCCCCTAAGTCTTGGACCCAGAAAACAAACAGGAAAAGAGAGGGCATAAGGGATATATGATTATAAGCTTGGTTCTTGCAAGGAAAAAACTTCTGGGCAGCTCTGAAT